CAGAGAGGGAGAGTGACTGTGTGCTGAAGACTGGGGGGGAGGAGGGAGTGTAGGGGGCGGGTTTATAGGGTATACCCTTTGGTCAGCTGATGATGCATCGAGGGGATTGGAACCATGGCAATGAAACGATATACAATAGAATGAATGTAAAACTAAAGTTCTCTCATGTAAACTATCATATAATTCACAATAAAACATAAAAAAAAAAAAAAATGGGCACATGAACAGACACCTCCCCAAGGCGATCTGGGCAGCCAACAAACATATGAAGAAATGTTCACGATCACTAGCCACTAGAGACATGCAAATAAAAACAACAATGAGATATCATATCACACCAGCAATAACAGCAAAGATCAAAAAAATAGAGGACAATAAACGTTGGCAAGGATGTGGAGAGACTGGGATGCTCCTGCATTGCTGGTGGGATTGCAAAATGGTCCATCCTCTCTGGAAAACGATATGGTGTTTCCTCAGAAGGTTGGAAATAGAAATACCTTATGATCCAGCAATCCCTCTACTTGGTATTTACCCACAAGAAATAGGAGCCATAACATGAGACCAATGTTTATAGTAGCACTATTTACAACAGTGAAAAGACAGGGACAGTCTTAAGTGTCCATCAATTGAAGAATGTATAACAAACTGTGGTACATATACACAATGGAATATTATGCTGCCTTGAAGAATAACAAGAAAGTTGTAATCCACCACATAACATGGATGAATCTTGAGTACATTATGTTGAGTGAAATTAGTCGGTCACAAAAGGAGAAATACTGTATAGTACCACTATTGTAAAAGACTAAGAAAAAGAAAAGAACCCATACTAAAAAGGAGCGTGAAGTGGGGGGGGGGGATTTTGCCCTGGTTACCTGAATGTGGAGGGTGGGATGAGGGCAGGAAGGGGAAGGTGGAGCACAGGGTAGAAAATACACACAGGATAGTTGGGGTGCTGGGGAGGGGAGCAATACATAAGAAGGGAGAGGGGAATGGAAGAACAGGTTGATGGGAGAACAGTTAGGAAGGTTGGCATGGGCTAAGTGAGACAGAAGTAAATGATGATGCATGCACAACCTTGGAACACCAGGGCTCTGAGATCCAAGGATTGAGGCATGGTTGGAATGAGTAAAAGGGGAAATAAGGTTCAGATGCTTGGCCATCTTTTGAATCTTGGTTTCCCTGGCACACCACTGTAAAATAAGACATTTGAGGGGGAGAGAAAGGAATAGCCAAAAATATCATCAAAGAAAGCTTGTAAGTCCTTCTTCTGCCTATAACTGATTTGGAATAGCTAAACTGGGGCTACAACTTGCCCAATGAAGGAGGCTTCCGGTGGAGCCTCTGCATTACATAAGA